CGGTCAACTGTGATGGTTTCGGCAGTCGACTGCCAGTCGGGTTTGGGCCTGGCTTCGTTTCCTGTTCTGATTTATTTTGTGTTTTGATATATATTAAAACATGTTTTTTAGGGTTTTCTTAAAACAAAAAGAGAGACTTTTGAGTCGAGTGATTGAGAGTTTTGGTGGGAGATTTGAGAGCTTTGTTTGAGAGATTAATTTGTGAGTTTTGAGTGAATTTGTAATCTCCATTTGTACTCTCTCTAATAGTAAAATCCATCTCCTCCTTGCCCCGTGGGCGTAGACACATTATCAAACCACGTAAAATTTATGTCTTGCATTGTTTGGTTCTTGTTTTACCTATTGGTTGTAATTTTATCTCAGTTTGGCTGTGTTTCTTTGATTCCGCTACGTACAACACCAACTCTATTAAAATGATCAGCCATCGAATACCAAACTTTTAGTGAAGACACAAGGCCAATTAAGCACAGAAGATTAAGTCTAATATTTAAACCTTCATGTGAAGAATTATTTCATTGTACTTTTTTTTATTAAATCAAATAAATTTACAATAATTTGTTACAAAGTCAGACATCAAACATAATCACAATAGTAAATAATTAAGGACTCCTTAAACTTAGGCATCCTTCATACTTGAACATGGAGTTATTTATTTAGCAAGAGACAGGCTTGACATTGCTTGAGACCACTTTAACATTCTCACAAGTAGCGGTCTCCTTCAATGCTTTGTCATTGCCAATATACTGAAGTTGGATGTTCTTGAGCTCCAATCCTTCACATGGATGAGTCTTGCTGCACCTCAACTTGATTACCTCTGCAGAGGATGATGTTCCTCTTATGTTGTTGAACTTAATATCCTTAATCTGAACTCTAGATGGCTCCTGCGATAAAATTAGCAAAGCATTAAATCCAGTTGATCATCTAAATTATGGAGATGTAGCACTTATCAATGAGGTGTGCCTGCAATTAGCACACACTTGAAATCATTTATAGAAATTAATACAAGGAAAAGCTTCACAAAACCCATGAACCTTTTAGGTGGTTTTAACAAAATTCATAAACTTTATAGTTCAGAGGAAACCATTGATCTGAATTGTTGAAAATTATCATAAATTAATGACATTAACTTGACAGATAAAAGTCTAAAACATCATGATTACTCTCCATGCGTCTATCATAAACCTAAAAAGGATAATATAGTAGGTATTAAGCATGTACATATAAAACTATTGAAAACACGTCAGCTGTGAAACGCGTGACATTTTACACTAACTGCTGTCAGTCATCATATATCTAGGAAACAAGTTCAATTTGGTTTTATTGTACTTTATAAATTAAGCTCGATCAGGGGTTTCATGCAAAACATTCAAAGTGTGAAATTTACCCTATATATATGCAAAACATACAAATGTAGTGCTTCTAATTATTTGCTCCATATATACATAATCTTGATTACGAACGTACCGATTCCACACAAGAAGCATATGGACAATACTCCTGATCGATAATAATCGGATTCATCACATTCTCCATCACAACATCATCGAACGTGAAACCCGAAACCATCATGGGTTCAACATTCTTAGCATCCTTCTTGCCCTGCCAAGTCTTGATCCTGATCCCGTTTGCAGTCCCACTCAGCTTAGAGTTCCTCACATTGAACCCCACGACATCCCCCTTATCCTCATCCTTGCCCAAACTGCCGACGCTGATGCCGTGGCCGGGCCCGCACGTGACTCCAGATACGGTCACGTTGGTTGTGCCCGACCCGACGGAGACGCAGTCATCTCCGGTGCCGATGGTGGAGTTGGTGATGATGATGTTAGAGGAGGCGCCCATGTGGATCCCATCGGTGTTGGGGCTGTCGCCGGGGGCGGTTATCGTGATGGAGTGGATGTCGATGTTGCTGCAGCCGAACATGTTCACGTGGAAGAACTTGCTGTTGAGGGAGGTGATGCCGGTTATGGCTGAGTTTGTGACGAAGCTTAGCGACATTGTCTGTTGAAACAGTAAACGATTTAATTTGTTCAGTTGAACAAAGCGCATCAAGCAAATGCTTAATTAATTAATAAAAAAGTTAGTTATATATATACTGGTGAGCTAGACCACAGATTAGCTCAAACTACTTTTATACTATCAGAAATGAGAGTGTGGGGGTCCTTAGCGACTCGATCATCCAATTTTGATAGCAACCCAAGAGGATGGATCTCACACTTTTGTCTAATGTAGTTCAAAAATAATGAGATATATAGGCTGATCAGTATTAACCCCCAGAATTAACAACGTGCCACAAGAATAATAACTTTGTTTATTATTATAAGGATGCTTGGGGATCAATGCATTGATCCAAGTGTTAATGTTCATTTGGTGA